TCCGCCAGGTAATCGAGGTCACCTATGAGATCATTCTTGCATCTGAGACCACAAGCCTGCCTGCAACCACACCCAGTGATGTTGTGCATGTGAGCAAGCTAAAACCTTAGCCCCCGCTTACTGAAGACCATAATTAATATGCCCCGAGATGGCACTTTTACCGCCAGGGAGGGGGGGGGGGGGTTAATGCTACGTAGCTGACATATCAGCAATTATGCTTGATTTACGGCACACTGCACAAATGGTTCTTTGAGTGGCTCTGAAGCTTGAAAGCAGGCCATGAAAGGAAGATCGACTCATTTGCTGGCTTTGAACATTGCATCTGGAATAAGGGCACTTGGATGCAAGGTGGTCAGTCTGCCGAAAATGATTGCACATGACCTTGCTTAGGTCGTCCCCAGGGCATTAAGCAGGTGCGTCATTTCTAGAGCTGATTGCATAGTGACTGTCTTGCTCTCCTAATAGTAATGAGGAAATGCTACACGAGACTGGTGACTTAGCCGAATCAATTGGTGATAAAGAGCTGCCGTTTATATTACCAATCTGCTGCACAAGCATGGGCTCGTGACGTTGATGTACTGGCTGTAATGAGCGGCTGACTAGGGAAAACAGAGGCATGCTCCAAAGTTCGGTCGAGTTGAGTTACGATGGCAAAAAATGCCCTCACAGTTGGTGGCCGTTGTGCAGCGATAGTTGTTCCTAAGTGTGTGCCGCGCACACGCTGTAGTGCATATTCAATGTGGTGGGGATCTGTCAGTTGGATGGGCCATTTTGAAATTATATGCAGGTTCGCCAATGAGAAGTCAAAGAGGCTCTCACTGCGTTTCTGGACGTGTCTGGTAACTACGTGCTGCATCGCAAAAGCATAAGCTTGTCCCAAAACTGCTCCTCAAACGTAGGTTTGAAATACTCCCATGAGTCCAACTGGTTTTCTGCCACGCTTTTCCAATCTGCAGCAGGGCCACGGAGCTTACCAAGCGCTATGACGAGGAGAGTAGACGGTGTCCATGACACCCCCTAAGCCTTGAGTACACTCAAGCTCATTAACCTACTGGTGAGCCGAGATGCTACTGTCAACACTAAAGGTTGGCAGCAAGGCCAAAAGGTTGGGCAAAATAGTCACTTGGACTGGAAACTTCGGCCGTTTTGATAATGTCAAAAACTACTGTAGTAGGCCAATCAGCACTTTCGTGCTTAAAACTGACAGCTCAGCTGTCGAGTCGGGCCCACCAAATGGTTGACGGTTCTGGGCGATGTCATGAAGCAACCGTTCAATCATGTCTTCTTTCCAGCCAGTCATTTCCAGGTTACAGCATGAAAGTTCATGGCGTATAAAGTCTGCTGTGAACTTGTGGAGGTCTTCCACAGTGGCCTCATTCCAGTTTATAAGCAGCATTGCAGTCGATGGACGGGCCGGCAAGATCGAAGAAGGCTTAGGGCAGGCAAATGCAATGAGACAGACAGCTAGCACAAAACACCAACTCACACGGAATGGACGAGTGGCTCCGGTTTCCTCAGCATGAAACGGCCCTGCGACTAGATCAACATGTGGCACAAGGTTGCCAGATTACGTGCAGTCTCGCAATAGTGTAGCTAGTGCAGTAAGAGCTCAATTTTGTTCAGTCAGTCGATGATAATAATCTGCTAGATTCGACGGTTTACACTTACAATCGACAATTATCACAGAAAAAGCCATTTATGTGTAGCCTGGTGCAGCAGGTCAAATTGGCGCAGAATGACGCTATTGAAGCAGCACTTCCACCCCTGACTGTAGATAGAGCCTGAGGGCTTGTTAATAGATGACGCTTAACCTTTTGAATAATTATCTCAACCCTGAGCTGTCTTACTATCATGAGTACAGTAGAATATCGATTATACGATTACAATTGATGTGAAATTCGCGATGATATAAATTTTAGGGTTGTTTTGAATGGACTATACGCCGTGATTTGCTGTGATTCAGTATTATAGGAACGGTTTTCGCACCACTGTGGATGATACAAATGCGTGATTGACCACTGCACGTGAACGGCACAACACAGCTTGTCTGTAGAAGGAAAGCCTGTTGACACTTGGCCTCAAAGGGAGAGAATGCGGCAAAACTCACCGAAATTTTCCTTGCTGCGTCAGCTAAGTGATTGAAACCCAGCAAGGCCAATGCCAAAAAAATTGGTCTGGGACAAATTTTTTCTCCAAGCGATAGCAAATCACCTTTTTGCTGCACGGCTTTGGCTACACCGGCTGTACCAGTTCTCAAACCACATGATGTAAACAACCGGCCGCCAATTCAACATGGTGGCAAAGGCATCGGCGGTGGCTCGTGTCAGCGCAATCGCGAACTACCTGCTAAGCACGACGAAGCTCCTGGTTTTGACAAGGATGCACTCATTGAGAGCCTTGTTTGAATTACGATTGCTGAGAACATCGAAAGTAGAAGAAGGTGTTGTAGCAGCAGCCAGTCAGCATGCCCTAACTTATCATGCTTGTTGGCTGAATCTATTGCCGCCATTGCCTGAGCGTCTCCTCGTGTCCATAATCCTGGCGAAAAGACGTGAAAATGTGGTCTCTTGTACAAGCCACCAGACGAGAATGACTCACCTCTGGAACCCTGCAAGCCACGGTGTAATGGTTAAGGACGTTCGTCACTATGCTTGTCTATAGCGGACGAAAAAGGACTAACATCAACAATTGATGCGAACAAAAAAAGCTTTATATTGCACACTAAAGAAGGAAGTGACACTTTCTTGTTGATGAGCTGCGCGAACCAATGGCTCTGCGCCTCCTGCGCGGGGAACACACCCTCAAGCAGCTGCAGCAGCCCGATGAAGACCAGCATCGGGTGCGGCAGGTGCGGCGGAAACACCTACTTGTACAGGCACACCTTGTTCTTCTCGGTTTTGTGCACTTCCTGGTCCAGGAATGGGAACGTCGCAGTTTGGGTCCCCGTCGTCCCGACATGATGCGGTCGTCGACGTGCGCGAGGGCAAAGGTGGCACGGCTGGAACGGCTGACCGCACACGAATGCGCTACCGTGTGCAGCGCCGTTGAATCGGACGTCGCGACCAACCCAGCAGCCTGGGTCGCAACTCCCGAGGTCCAGGATCAGGCCACGGCTCACGAGGACCACACCCGGTAGGCCTCACCTACGAACCTGCTCCCGGCCACTGCACCCAGGCAGGAGCCGTTCGGCAGGCCCCGTCCTTGGACCTTGTACAGGCCGACGGACTCGACCTCGAACGGACACACCGGAGCTCGACCTGGCCGACACGTACGGGTCCCACGTCTGGCTCAGGAACGCTGCCAGGAACTCGTCCTATCGAGCGGCGCACCGCTTCGTCTGCCTTCGTGGCCTCAACCCTCGAGCTCTTTTTCGCACGTTCCTTCTTCTTGGCCAGGGCACCGCCAGGTACCCTCGGGTGCACACTGCAGCTCATGAGCTCGCGGCCCACGTCCGAGTCTGGTGCATCGCTCGGTACAGCTCGGCACCGCTCGGCGATCCTCGATTCAGCCAGAACTCCCCTGGCACCTGGATCCTCGGCCACCCTGAAACTCACCCGGCTCCGTGGTCCTCCGTACACAAGCCCGCGTCTTGCCCGGCAGAACGTCTTGCTCGCCCCTTGCCGATGTGCGACGCTCTGGTGACACCAGCGCTTGATGGCATGGGTGTGGCTACGGAGCAGTCAACCCGCATCGGAGACGCAATGCTTCATGCGGGGAATGGCCAGCCCGTCCAGCGAACAGCTTGCGTCAAGACGCGATGCTCGGCGCAACCGTGACCGTTAGCCAGGCCACCTTCATCGCTGTGCCGAACGGCTGACCGTGGAGACGCCTCGCCGAGATCTACGATGCCCTCGGCAAGGAAGAGAACAGCAGGCCAGGCCGCGCCCCGAGATGCAGTACTCGTGCCAGCAACGCCGCCCCAGCTGGTGGTTGGACGGCAGCAGCGTGGACGGCCGCGTTCCCTGGCCGGAACCTGGATCGCCTGCGTCCGAGGCTTCGGCCCGCTGTCTTCCATCTGCCGCTGCTCCGGCTCGTCCCCAGCCACACAGCCTACTGCCACGTAATGGTCGCACGTGGCCCAATCGTGACACGCCACCTCTATGGGCCACCACTGGTCATCAGCTGATTGGCGCACAGTTGCCTCGTAATCGCACGTGCCTTCTTCCTCTCTTCTTCATTTCTTGTTGTCGCCTTAGTGCCACCTGCCCTCCGCTCGTCTTCTTCAGTTTTGGTTTGACGTTCCTCGGCGTCTTTAAGTCCTTTCCTTACACACGGCTTCCAACCAAAGGAATAAGCCTACCCTTTGTTTATTTCATAGAGCGTACAATCACTCTACGAGACATCTACGCGTTATTGCTAATGTAGCGATTAAATGCTGTTTTGTTGACCTAGCCTGGTGCCTTATTTGCCTGAACCCATCATAGCTACGATGACTCGAGCTAAGGAAAGGGGATGTTTATTGTGCACAGTACGACTGTGAGAGCTGAAACCGTGGCTAGGCTTCTGCACCAGCCATACATAAAGCAGACCCCTTCAAAGTTGGTTTTAAATGAATGAATGACTGGAACCTTTACTTCGAAGAAAAGGACAGCTCTGGGAAGCAGTTTTGGAATGTGGCAGAAAGTGATTATTAGGTGCACAGCGTGGCCATATCAAGATAACACCAGTTCGCGTTCATCCGTAGCAGTAGATGTTTTAAGTCGCTATTGGCCGAGTTGGTCGAACCCTTCTAGAGCCTTTGAAACAGGCAACTTGTAACAGCATAGATCACTAGTGCTTTTTGAGCTTCACTAGTGCTTTTTGAGGCCTAAGTTTCATATGTTATCTCGTAGCAGGTGTTCGATGTGTGTTTGTCCAAGCAAAAAAGCATGCCGCGCAGATTTACACCACCTCATATGGATTTTAAATAAAAATATTTGATTAACTCGAGTGTAAATCAGCGGCATGCCAGACAAAGCAAGTGTTACGCATAAGAACCAACAACAACGGAAGTGACTGACCTGGTGAAGTCCGTACGATGTGCATTGGTGGTACGTGGAGGAGCCGCAAAGTTGAACCAGACTGTCTTAATCTCGAGCAGGAGCAGAGCGTCACAAGATGGCTCTCCCTCTGTGGAGGAGAACAGGGCCTCTGCCTGGTGAGAGCTGCCGCTGCTGCTGCTGCCACCATGGCCAACTAGCCGCAAGCTGGATCCTTCCACTCCACACTCAGTCATGATGAAGCCCATCTTATCATCTTCACGCACTTTCTCCCACTCAGGGCACTCAAACGTGAAGCACACCTGGAGGTAAGATTACATTGTTACAATTACAAACGCTCAAACATTGACTGAGGGAAACTCCTAGATGCCTAAAAAACACCACAAGAAAAAAGACACACTGTAATTCTTTTTTCTTGAGGTCTTTTTTTAGGCATCTAGAAGTTCTCCTCTGTATGACCAACCAACTAGTCCAGCAACGAGTACTTTAAACATTGACTGTCAAAGGTTTGCACAGTGAGCACACTCATCGGTAGTTAGGAGGGTACAAGGCGCCTACAGAACATCGTGGCAGCTGCAGGCATCTGCCCTGTGTGAATTGTGCGTTAGCAAACAGTGTTGCGCTGGGACGAAAGAAGTCGTGCGAACTGGCGAGTGAGGTCTAGCAATCATAACAAGTGAGGGCTCATTCACGATGGAACCGAGTGAAATCCCTGATGAACTTGTGCAGTTTATGCTGTGACAGACGAATGAATTGGCTCTTATTTAACGCAAGCGCATAGCATCCGAACTGTGGCAGGCGCTAAATGGCTGCTCTCATGGTTCCCGTAAGCAACGAGAGCCAACTGGCCTTTGTTTGACCGCCAGCTACACAAAAACTAGTGATTGTGACATCGACCATTGCCACCATGCTGCCAAAGTTCACAGGTTTCCGGGATGTGCAGACGTCGGAGTAATTTCTCCACAAAATGGACAACTTCTGCTTGATCAAAGACATATCTCTAAAAGACTGAGTTCACCGCGTTGATACCGCGGCACTCAGCGGCAGCACGAAGTTGTGGTATCGTTTTGCGGGTCCCTTCACTAGGGGGATGCTTTTGTCACAGCTCTTTGATCGGAATTGCATCGGCCGACGAATTGCATTGAGTTAATTGACTACAAGGTTGCGAGGATGACAAAGCAAAAAAGTTGCATTGAGCAGCCTGGCCAGACTAGGCATCTTCACAGTGGTCAAACAGAAGTACACCGCACACGTAATGCATGAGCTAACAAAACAGTAAAAAAACTAAACACCAAAAATAATTAATAAACAAAGTTATTGTGGAAACACTCGAAAATAAAAAGAAAAGTAGCCATAGGGATGAAGACAAAAAAAAAAATAGATGAACTCATGGCAGCACAAGGAAGGATAGAAATATCCTGTGTAGCCTTTTTTAGTTACAGAGTAGATACACTGAAACCATTTCTTTGAGTAATTGATTTCAAACAGCTGGTTGACAAAACAGTAGCATTCGGTCACCATATCTAGTTCTTAGCATTCGGTCACCATATCTAGTTCTGTTTTTGTTACCAATCCAAGGTTCTAAATTACGAAATAATAAAAAAACTATCTAAAAGCACTCTGACTTGGACGAGCTGATACATAATTGTATAGGCTTCGGTGCAATTAGACGAAAACCATAAGAAACACACAGAACACAGACGAGCGCTGACTTACAACTGAGTTTATTTGCACTTACACAAGCCTTTTTATACGCCAAACCTGCCTGTATTACCTAAACACAGAAGAGCAAGATAAAAGACGATATGAACGGAACTCAAGATCTATAAGCAAAAACAATATGCAAATGCTTACAGTGGGACCATATATCAGAGATAATGCACACCTATATCACACAAGGCAAACTGAACTTCGAAATCAAGACGACACATGATTCATACTCTAAAATGGCACCTTCAAAATAAACCTGACGAAGAGCAGAGAGTAAAATGTTTAACTTGTCCTGGTGATAATTAAAGTGAGTGTCTAAAAGAAGAAGCGGTAAAAACACGGAAGCATGTGGAAATGAAACGACAAAACATAACAACCTAAAGAACAGATATCAGCGTCACTTACTAAAACAACTCTATCTTGCACTCATGGCAGACCAGCGCCATACATAACCAAAAGCATACAGAAGCAATAAAACAGACACACAAGAACCGCGTTGCGGAGCGCTTGCTCATAGCTGTTGACTACCTGGCAGCCAACTTGCCCAACTTGCCGCTTCGGGCATCACGGTATTCGGTTGTGGAGATGGTGAATATTTCGTGGGAAGCGGTGACGGCTACATGCGCGCGAAACTGTTTTCGTGAGGCTGACTTCTTCAACGTCGGGCCCGATGCTGAGCCTGAAGCTTCTGAAGAGGATCACTTACGTACAGCGGCAATTTGTGGCAGCGTGCCGTCGACTCCGACACGGGAGAGCAAGTGCAGCATCTGTTGCGATAGTTTCATTATGGCCGACGTTGATGCCGACACCGCCGAACCGTGCATGGATTAAGGCATTGTGAATGAAGTACGTGGCAAGAGAGATTTGGAGGAATTGAATTGCGAGAACGACGAAACTTTGGAGTCAGTCCCTAATGCAGCTTATGCCCCAGGCCTCTGCAAACAAGCACACTGCTGTTTGAAATAAACTAGAGACCACTTTTACGCTTCTGCTCTTCGAAATACGTGCATCATAGACTTTTGGGGGCAAAAAAAGTTTGTGTTTTCACTTGCAACTTTTTTAAAAACTGTGTTTCATTTACTACGAACTTCGGGATACGGCGAATGGATGTCGCGTTAGGCTCAGGTTCATCATAAGCGGGCTCGACTGTATTTTTTAGTGCGGACGCGTTGATTGCAGGAAGTCTCGCTAGCCTTCACAGCGTTGCATTTGATGTATGAAATGGAGTAAGGAAAAAGACATTCGTAAAACACATGGACATTGGCTCAGAGGTGTCACTCTTATGTAGGTGCCGCCATAATACGCTATGATTTACCAATACGCATAATCCCCCCTCCCGTCCTCCCACTAAGTGCGATGCTGAGCCAGATTGTGCTGCTACTCACTGATCCATGTGTTCGTGCGATTTTGTCACATTTGGAATCAACTGTCGGCAAATATGAAGAATTTTCTAAAGCAAACACTTCGTGGGAGCTTAGCTTACCATAATTTAGGCAGTAGCAAATAGATGGTGAAAATAATACAGGAAACAGCGTGAATCAACTTATGAATTACCCAACAAGATAATTTATTCTAATTGTCCCAGGTTTCTGATAAAACTGGAAAAACCATGTGCTTTAGGAGGTTCCAACTTCTCTATCTTAGTGGAAGTCATGTGTTCAGCTAATCATCGACAAAATACACTTTATTTTGGTAACCATTTTATTGTAGTTTAAGAGGGTGAAATTTAGCAAATAACACCAGGATGTAAATGTTATTTGTGTTGAAAAGTGCCTGAGTATGTTTGTAGCGTAAGCTACATTGGCTGAGGTTCAGATGTTTCATGTGGATTATGGTAAGCAGTTGTGCACAAGCACGAGGAGCAGTGACATACAAGTAGCGCGACATACAAGACACACGCGAGGTCACACTGACTGTACTTGCACGTGCATTTTTCTCGCATTCTGCATATGTGAATGAGTGGTGTCACCTGGTGTCTTTTGTCAAAGTATTGGCAAGAAGGAGGTAGTGGAACCGCCGCCTCAATGACCATCGGTTATCCTGCCTACGTGCTACGTGCCCAGCCCATACCGATTTCTTTTTCGTGGTTTCAACTATGATATCCTTAAGCTCGGTTTGTTACCTGATAATACAAAACATGCACCAACTAGTCCAATAGTGAATACTACTGTTCCACAAATCATTTTCCAATGGTCTTTGGCATCCCAACCGTGTAACATGGTCACACGGTTGAGATGGGAAATTCGAAATAATGGTTGAGTTGGGAAATTCAAGATAATGAAAGTGAGCAAAAATGGGTGGATTTCGGGGGTGGGGGCACGAAAAATATTTATTGGCCAAAAAAGTCGGTGACGACCATCTGCTTCTTTTCTCTGAATGCCACAGCTGCGGCTCTCTGTTCCAGCCCGCGGACGCGGCGCAGGGAATCCTCTTCACCCTCTTCAAAGCTGAAGAAGAGACGCGCCACATTAAGTGCCTCCATCACCGCAGAAGCTGACGGGCGCACGGGCGCTTTGTCATTTTCGTCTTCCTCACCTTCTGGCTCTACAGCAACAGGCTACGCACCGGCTACTTGAGTGATAATGTCCCCATCAGTCAGGGCACCACACACCGATGCACCGGTGTCAACTTTAACATAATTGGCAAAATGTACGCCCCGAAGAGTGTCGCGCAGTGCCACTGGCATGAGCTCCTCAGCCCCACTTACGTCGAGATCACAACTATCCTGCGCACTTTCAGCTGTAAATCCACTGTGGCGGAAACAGTTTGCGATTGTGGTCGCGGTCACCTGTTCCCATGCGTGCACCAACATGTGCATGGCAGTGAGCAGCGTAATGCTGAAGTCCTTCCTGTCGCCCGCGCACAAAATTACTCTCTCCAGCACGTGATGCCTATAAAAGCACTTAATGTTCCTTATCACACCCTGGTTCATTGGCTGTAGGGCCGCAGTCGTATTTGCCGGAAGGATCACCAACTTAGTTGCTCTCAGCTCAACGTCGACTTTGTGCGCCGAACAGTTTTCGACGACAAGAAGAACGCGTCTGCCGCCCAGTTCCATTCGCCTGTCGAATTTTAGTAGCCACTTCCTGAATAGGTCACCTGTCATCCAGGCTTTCTTGTTTGCGGCGTACTCCGATGGCAGTGAGCGAATGTTTTTGAAGCACCGTGGCTTGAGTGCTTTGCCAATCACAAAAAGGGGGACCTTTTCCGTACCGGTCATATTTGCGGCGACCAGAACAGTGACACGCTCTTTGCTGTGCTTGCTGCCGGCACAGCTGTCTCCCTAGTAGGTGATCGTCTTGTCTGGCTGCAACTTGAAAAATAACGCTGTCTCGTTAGCGTTAAACACATTCTGTGGTGAATAGCTCTCCAAGTACTGCTGCAGGGTGTCGCTTCTCCAAGTAGCGCGTGTTTCCGCGTCCACTTCCTTTGCCTCGCCGGATAACGTGCAGAATACGAGATTGTGCAACTCCCTGAAACGATAAAACCATCATTCGGAGGCTACAAAGTCTTCAATGTCTAAGCGCAGGGCGAAATCGGCTGCCTTGGCCATGATGACAGGGCCGCTCAATGCGATACTCTGGGCTCTCAT